ATACTATAGTAAATAACACTAGATAATGCATCTCTCAGATTATATAGAGTAAGGAATGGAAAATAACTCGCAAGATACTTTTGATAATGACATTTTTACCATATTGGGTTTCAGATTTTCTTGAGTTAATCTGCACTTTAGCAAACACCCGAACTAAGAATTAACGACAATAAATGCATCCCGCCTTCTAATAATGGCCATAGTAATCGTCCGTTACCACTGATGAGATCAGATTTAAACAAAGATTCTCAAGTTTGTTTATAATGGACAGGCTTGGAAAATTCAAATTTAAAAACATTCTTTACCTCATGTAGTATTCCTGCTCTGTATTTTTTCACAAACCTGTCATATAGCACATCTATATGCTCATGGCTGAAAAATCATCAGTTTTCTCGACCTCTACAAATGCAGTAGTGTATATGCGCTATACGCTGACGTACCTCTTTTGACGATCAATAACATACACATAACCCAGAGTTGGCTTGAAGTCTTTTCTCAGCCTTAGATATTCCTCGATCTTCATGGTGGCCACCAACACCTTAGGGCAAGAATATTTCTGAATTGACCGTGGCATTCTTTTTTGTCTTCAAAATGATACAAGCACTCCATGATTGTTCGATTTTCGAATTGAACCCACCCAATCTACTACTTTTTGATATTTCCGAAAACTCTTCGTTAGACGTTCATTCAATTTGTTGAAGGTTGCGGCTTTCTTCAGTTCTCTGTCGCTATCGTCCTTCAGGTTACTAAAGCACCCACAAGATACCAGGGACGGCAATACCTGAACTGCAATAGTGTTTAACCTGATAATCCAGATGCAATACTTACGAGAAAAGTCATGCACAGTACTCCCGCCGCCATCTCTAAGCCGAACTTTTGCATTAACGGCTATTTATACTATTGTACGTTCAGCACAAAACGAGAGCTTTGACAAGTACGTTTGACCTGTCACTTCGTATGTCAGAGTAAATACGACAAAAGTGTGCTCGCTATAGCTTATCCGATATGGATCGAGTGCGTCGGCATGAAATTTTGCTTAGAGTGTAGCGATTCGCAGTCATGGACAGTGTAGCTGGTTTAGGGTAATCTGTACAAAGCAGCTTTGCTACGAGCAACAGCTGAATCGTGTTCAGCGAGCAAGACGGGCAACGGCATTCTCATTCAAGCCGTTTTCTCGCATTTGAGTGGTCTGCCTACGTGGTGCACTACTACTCGCTGAATCACGAGCTCACTAGGATATCAGCATGAAGAAAAAAGGTAACGGGACACACTATATAAGGACGCCAGATGACAAAGCTACGGCGAAAAGCTCCGTTGATTCTCAAGAAAAATTGTCAACGTGTGATGAAGGGAACAATCACAAACAGTAACACCATAGCAATCAATCTGTTGTTTGCTGGTTGTCAAGTTTTTAAGTAAAATTTATCAATGGTAAAAGATATAATAT